CTTTGAGCAACCTGGTCTAGTGGGAAGTGTCCCTGCCTGTGACAGGGGGGTTGGAACTAGATGATCTTTAAGGTCCCTTCCAACCTAAACCATTCTAGGATTCTATGTGTGACACCACTCATGAAGAAAACAAATCCAGCAAATCCCTTTCCATGGTTCCATAAGTTAGGATACCATCATAGGAAAAGATTAGATTTTCAGAAGGGAAAACTTGCCCAAATTAAAAAAAAAACAAAAACAAACAAATACGAAAGCATTGGAAAGTCCCCTTCTTTTTAAATAAAAAATCAAGAGGGCTAAAAAAAGAAGTTGAGAAGCACCTTGAAGAGGATTCTTAAGCTGGTCTCATATCAAAAACAGGAGGTTGTTTAGGGGATCAGTGAGCGCAACGTATAGGAGACACTCAGGGTTGATAAAGCCCTAAGAGCAAGGCTCAGTTCTTGGTATTGGGCTGCTGAAGGTATTGGGAAGGTTTCCACTTTATGTATTTTGTAGCAGAAGAGCTAAGTCAGTTTATTGTAAATGTATAGAAACTATTAGGTAAAGATAGACAATTTATACACCAGGTGGCATTTAGCTGGGAGTCTGAAAAAAATTCAGATGTGAAATGGGAGAACTAGTGGCCAAGGTGTGCAGTCTGCCACCATTAATGGTCACTGTGCCAGAGGAATAGTAGATTGAAGTCATGTTGGCAGTACACAAGCAGAGCTCTAAATGGGAGCCTGGAAACTGTTACAAAGTGATAATTTTGACTTTCGTCTTACCAGGGATGGTAGAGTCCTCAACAAAGAATAGGTCGCTGAGTGCATGAGTAAACAGTCTCTTTGGAGAGTCACTACGGTTTACTTAAAGGGAAATCTGTTTCACTAAACTGCAGCACTTTGAGGGTGTCAGTAAGCATGTGGATAAAGGGCATCCCAGGAACATAATGGATTTGAATTTTTTTAAAAGCCTTTGACAATGTTCTATATCAATTCTTACTTAAAAAAAAAAAAAGTATTGAAGGAAATGTTCATTACTAGGCTTGCAGCTGACTAGAGTTGAAAGCCAAATAGGATACAGTAATCGCCTTTTTTTTTTTTTTTTTGAATGGCACAGTCAGTAGTCATGTCGCTCAGGGATTCATGCTGGGAGCAATTCTTGTCCACATCTTCATTCCTGACCTGAAGAAGGTAGTGAACAGTAGTTTGTGCGCAATGCTGTATTTGTCTGGGTAGTCAAATGCTATGTCAAGGAAAGGAACCCCAAAACTCCAGGAACTCGTAAAACAGAGTGGGTAGGCAAATCAGTGGTAGAAGAGCTTTAAATGCAGAATAAAGCATCTAGGTAGAAGTCATCTAAACCTTCTTTACACAGTATTGAGCTGAGTCACAACACAGGAAAACAGTCTTTGAGTCATCACTGGTAGTTCTCTGAAATCAGTGGCTCAGCATAAGTAATTTTCAAAAAAGCCAAGAGTATGTCATCATCGCCATATTTCCAGGAAGGCTATTGAGAACAAGACAGAGGTGATGTTTTGTCATTATACAAAACATTAGTGTGCCCATATCTTGAATATGGGGTGTCTGCATCTCAAGAAGGAAGTAGCAAATTAGAGGTGATACAAAGGGGATAGAGTAGCTGCCTTAAAAGGAAAAATGTAGAAGTCTGGGATGCATCAATTCAAAGAGGAGAAAGCTGAGGTGTAGATGCAGTCAAAGTGTACAAAATCAGCACTGGATAAACTGAATGTGGAATTGTTCACCAAATTGTGCAATACAGGAAATGAAAGTGTTTTACACATCAGGTTTGAACCTCTTGAGCTCGTTGCTGCATGAGGTTGTGAAGTGGGGCAGGTTCAGAAAGGGATTAGAGACATTCGTGGGGAACATGGGTACTAACAAGATAGGGCCAGGGATAATATCTTCTGATATTCCCTAGTATAAAAATTATGGATGCTGGAGAAGTATGAGAGGAACATACTGCAGGAAGCAATAGGCTCGTGTGCTCGCCCTAAATGGCATCTTTTGTTGCTACTCCTGGAAACAGAGTGCTAGGCTACAGCTACCTCTGTTGTGATCCAGTAGGATATTATTTCTTACATTTTTATGTTTTGGTTGTTTAATTAAGGCATTTGCTCAGAATTTGAAATGGTCTCGGGGCAGGAGGCTGACTGAGTTTCTCTGAGAGAATGGCTTCTCCTAACTGATCCACTGGTATTGCTCAGTACTAGAAAGGAAGAGTAGACTGGCCGTTTATTTTACTGGTGTCGTATACATCTTCACTTCTTCCAGTGTCTTTGTGTCCAAAATTATCCAATCAAAGTGATGGAGTACTGTAGCTTAATGAGCAACCACATTTGAGCTGATGCACAGTGACTGACCAAATGCAGCAATTGCCCGCCCCTCTTGCCAAGGAAAACACAGTAGCTTAAACCATGATTTAGTCTGACAAACGATTTGTGGTTTAAGCCTAGTGCCTCTTGATTCACAGACCAACCTACAGTCAGTTACTGCAGTTTGAGTCATGAATGTTAACTCATTAGGCTCCAGTACTGAAATTCTTTCCAACTGAAATCTCTACCGCTACCCTTTGTATTTTCTCTCTCTTTTACCAGGCTTTTTCTCCATAGTATTCAGCACTCCAGCCTTACTTAGGAAAGGAGTGTGTGTGTGAGGATTAGTCGTGAGTGTAACTTGCTAGTACCCAGAACTCCGGATTCAACTCAACAAATGCTGTTTAGATCATTTAGTGTTTTGGTAACTGATGTAATGTCAAAGTCACTGATGCAATGAAACACACGTGCAGTCTTGGCTGTGGAAGCAGCGTCTGACAGAGCTGGATCAATGACTGCATAGCTTTTAAAGGGAGTTCTTGTCAACACAAGTGCAACAGAGCACCATCTCCTCTCTATCCGTGACTAGAAGAAAGGAACGAGAAACCACTTCGAACCATATGGTGATTCCTTCTAAATGAAATAGGGGTCTTGAGCTTAGTATTTTCTCTAACAGCTCAGTTTACTCTTTGTATCTTGCAGAAGGTATATTGGGTGCATCTTGCTGCACTTTGTCTTGTGCACAGAAGATTGCAGGTCAAATAAGAATGAGGAAATTAAAAGAAAAAAATGGAAAAAAAAACTCAAACAACTGTAGGAAAAGCAGAAAGAAGAGAAAGAATCAACCTGGAATAGCGCGTATCTCTAATCTCTTAGCTGTTGTCTTGCGGTCAGATACCTCTACACAACATTGACAACCGAAACAGTCTAATGACTGTTAGCTAGGAAATGACTACATTTAAAATGTGACAACAAAGGAACTGCCATTAACAATGCTAGTAATTCTCACTTGTTAACAAACACTTCTTACTGCCTTGCATCTGGGTTGTTATATCACGTTGCAAGCATGAAGCTTTGAACATCTTGGAGACAGCATGCTCTTAAATATCCAAACCTGCCAATATTGAAAAGAGTAAGTCTATTGAAAAGAGCATAGGAACAGAACAGAGATCACCTTGTTCTTTCAGTGATTATCTTATATATAGCTAAGTAGCAACAGACCAGAATGACTGCAAAGGAGTTAAAAAACAGCGTATGCATCAGCAATGCTTGCCTGTTTTACTAATTCCAAAATGAATATTGGAAATACAAAAACTGAAGGGTATATGTCAAGAAGCTAAATATGGATTCATCCAACAGAGGTTGTTGCACAGCTCATTTCTTGTCTCTGCCTGTAGAAAGTCTTTCTCTTAGCAGGAGGGGGGCAATCACTCTGTCTAATGTCTTTCTGAAATGATTAAAATTCCACTATAACTGCAGTCCCCCCAGAATGTTAAATTAAGGGTTTGTGGTATGATCTTAAATGGAGTCTTTTTTCTCTCTCTTTTTTTTTTCAAACCGCCTTTGTAGCAAAGGTTAAGTGGAGGCCTAATCCTGCTCTTTCACCTGCAGATCAGTATTGGTTTTGATAGAGGATTGCAGAACTGAGAGACAAATTAATCCACAATTAAGGCTGTACTATAAAGTTTGACACACAACCTTAGATGTTATCCCTGTTTTGCAGACAGGTCAGGTTCATTAAGACCTGTTGGTGCACCCAAAGCCCTGACAAATCTCACCTGGACCCTCCACCCAGGTACCTCCTGCCCAGTGCTTCTGGACTTCCCCTTAAGCTCCGGCCCCCAGTCTGCACCTGAGCTATGTCACAGTGTACCTGTGCTCAACCCTGTCCCTGCTGCCCTGATTTTCTCACTGGGCTTCCTGAATTGACCTCAGATATGACCAATTACCTTTCCATGATCACCAGGCTGTAACTATCACCACCCCATTGTCCTGGTCAGGGAGGTAATGACTCCTGCCTGGCTTGTGACTGTCTGTAGCCACAGCCTCGTGGAGCAGCCCAGCTCTTGTTCCCTGGCTGTCAGCTCAGAGTTCTGTGAAGGACCTCTGGTTATACTGCCAGACATGCTGCAGTGTAACATAGCTTGGGCAAGGACTGGAGGAGCCTGACCTGAGCTTAAATGGGGCTCCTAGGGCCGTGGGCAGAGGGTATGGCTAGAACGTGGAGAGGTGGGGGTGGTCAGGACAATTAAGCAAAATGAGTGTATTTGGGGCCCTGATGCAGAAGAAACAAAGCTTGTGTAGCTTGTTGGTACTGGAACTGAGAAAGGCAAAGAGGTTTTGTAGCTATTAATGTATTATCTCAAGGTGCGGGGAAGCTGTGGCACGGTGGCCAGCAGTTGGTTAGTTTACGTGTGAGTTCAACTCCGTTATTGCTAAAGTGTTTTCTTTCTTCTTTAGAAAATGTGAGTGGATGGGATCAAGAACCTTGCTGTACTCTTGAGCACAGTGCATTCAATCCATGCGGTGTCCAAAACTTTCCATTAACTTGTCACGTGACATTACTGAAAAAATAATAGACAAAAATAAATGGTTTTCTTATCTTTGATATTATTTATCTGTATTGATTTTGAGAAAATATGCATGTAAGTGCAAATTAAAACATATTCTGACTTTGTACTTCCAGGTTCCGGAGCATGCAGAACTTGCCTGGATTCTTGGGTGCTTAACTAACGTGCCACGTCTACTACGTCTACCCCAATGGAAGGTATGGATAGTTTCATAAATTGAAAGGAAGTTTATGGGAATTCAGTAGAATTGCTGTCCTTGAAATACTTGTTATCTGTGAAGTACCAATTGTATCTCAGTTATCATTGCTTTAAGTTTAAGTAAATCTCTAGTCCTATCATAGAAGGAGAAAAATGTGTCTTTCCAGGGGTGTTGCTATCAGTGAACATTTTTCTGCTGGAAGATACAGGATAATATTTTTGGCAGAGACTTGCAGAAACTGGTACTAAATAAGAGTTGTTCAGTGTTGTGTTAAACTGATTTTGCTAGAATGCTTGGAGTTATTTCAATGTTTATTTAATAATGCAAAAGAGCTACAAGATACTACAGCAGAAACCTTGAGCCTTGCTGATTAAGGAGTTCCATAAACAGCCTTTCTTTTTCCCATTGTGAAGAGTGGCTGTTCTGTAGATGTTATGGAAGAGGGTGCAAAAGAAGCATATGTTGGAAGGGGAGTATAGAAATCATAAATATTAAAAACATGCTGATTGATAAAGTTAATGCACCTTAAATGTTTGCCTTTACAAGTTTCAAATGTTCATTTTCTTAATCTTGGTACTGCATCAGCATGACTGCATCAACTGAATTCTTGCATTTAATTTCCTTCTATTTTATTTTGGCATTTAGTAAACAGAAAAACCAAAAGGCAAGAGAGAGAAGTATCAAAAAAGGAGGGAAAAAAAAAAAAAATCTTAAGAGCAGTTCGGCTTGCAGAGTTCAGAGCAGTCTTAAATACCTCCAGATGTTTTCTTTTTTCCTGTTTTTCTTCTTAATTAAATAAAAACAGTAAAACTTAAATACAGCAAGCAGCGTTAATGCATGGCATAGATTAAAGCCAACCTTTTCAAACCTGAGGTTCTAAAGTTAAGCTCTTCAATCCAATTTTGACTGGATTGACTTTCCAAATCTACAGATAGGTGTTACAGGTGCTAGGCTTTGCAAATTAGGTCCCCTGAACCCTAGGCACTTAGAGATGTAGACAGAAGGCAGGATCTGCATGAGAGAGTGAGAAAAATCTAAAGATATTTGAATAGTCTTAATGAAATAATTAAGATTTTAAGGAGTTTAGTGTATTTAACTGTTGTTAAAAACGAAAACTAGGTATGCTATTGCTAGAACAGAGTGAGTATCTGTAACCTGACTACTGTCTTGGTTTAAACGATCCATATCCTAGAGCAGTAAAAGGTAGAGTGAGTGGATTGTGGGGAGCAGTGTGAACTAATGGAGAGGATACTGGACTCTGCCTCTGTAGTTCTCGGTTCTCCTCCTAGCTGTCACTGACTCCCCTGCTGACTGTTTAGTCACTATGCCTTTATCTTTTTTCTGTGAAACACAGTATTGATTGCCTTTTTATACCTCTATTGTAGAGTTTTTCAAAAACTTACTGCTGAAACTGCCATTTTAAAAGTAGGTTTTATCAATAATAAGTGTAATAACACAACCTGATTGTTTTGTATTTGTAATCATTTTTGTGTGTAAGATTACAAACAGAAAGAAAACATCAGCCTATGTTTTCTCCTCACTACAATGTTGGAACAGTGTAGAGAAATTCATAAATATAGGACACAAAATGGGATGTGTGTATTCACAAGGAGCAGATTTTACATGGCACACTTTTCCCTAGAGTTAGGCAGTAAGTTACTCAAATTAGTTGGCATTCTAATTAATTAAAATCACAGACTTTGACATCATTACCCAAAAGCGTGATTCGTTTCTGTTTTTCTTTTGCAAACAGATGAAGCGTGCCAGCCAGAATAACGAAGGAACTGTTGGTTTGTTGACTTACCCAGTGCTTCAAGCAGCAGATATTTTGCTGTACAAGTAAGAGGCAGAATGTGAGCCCATGGGCAATGTCTGTTCAGCTGCATTAGAATGAATGTTCATCAGGTCAACATGCTAACTTATTAAGTGGGGGAGCTGGGTGTGATTAGATCAGAAGATTGGAAATGGATGGCAGCTTTTTACCTCTCAAGTGGCTGGTTGAAAACTAGCCTGGTTTGAAAGCAGATGACAGGGCTGTAAAGAAAAAAAGCTGGTCACTTCAGAACAATTCTTAGGGAATTATAACACATTGATGTTTAATTATACATATTATGTGTTCACACGCATATACATATATTTTTAAGTAGTTGTGCTTTATTTTATGCAGTATATTGTAGAGATACTTAAGCTGGCTATATATAGTATACCCATATTAGTGTGGGATTCTGCGTAGGCCTGTTGATACTGATGAAGAAATGAGTAATTTACTGCACCTTGTGATGCCTGGGCTAGTTCAGTTTTCTCTCTGGTGTACTATGTGCTGCAATGCAAATACACCCTAATGAGGGACTGATGACTCAGCATGGCCTAAGTTTGTAGCCTAGCTGATAGAACTCGTAGTGCATTGTTGTGACTGGTTGTATTTCATATGTTTTAAACTGTCTCAATAAGTAAATGTTGGAGACACTGCACTATGTATTAATTATTTTTATGTTCTGAGCGTATGTACTTTGTGGAATTGCTCTGAAGTGAAGTTGTGGATATTTGTTGGAACAGAGAAGTAATATAGAACTATGAGGACAGAGTAAGCAAGATTAGCCAGTTGTTAACCCAGAAAAATGTATCTAGAGAAATTTAATCCTAAGCGATCATTAGTAGGGGAAAACCATAATGTTAGAAGACCAGTACATGATATTTCTAATTTGCTTGATTTTTTTAACTAAAAATAATGGGAAGCCAGCAAAAGTCAGAATTAATTTGAACATTAAAATAATCTTCAAAGCAGTGAGTCCCGTTGATTGTCAAGCAGTATTTAAGGGAGAAATTTAGACAACTTTATCAGAAATCAGCTTTTTTTGATTGAGCTCAACCATGTATGCTTCCGCCATCTCTATTAAGATCATGGGATTCATCATTCCTTAGTGAAGCCTGTGGTTTGTTTGCTACCATGTGTATTAACAGCAGGCTGTCCAGATAGAGCACAAAACAAGGAAGTGAAAGAGAAACAGTATCTCTTTGAAGATATTTGACATGGTATCTTTAATAAGGAATGTTTTAATGTAAAAACATAATATAGGGAACAAGAATCAGGGTGAAATGGAAAAACGTGAGGGGAACGGCAGTCATGAAGAAGAATTAAGAGCTGGAGGAGGGGGAGAAACAGTACTAATTCAGATGAACCAAGGATCAAAGAGACAGGAAAATGGACAGAAGGTAAATATATGACAGAAAAGAATAAAAATAGCACCAGGACAGAAATACTTTAAAAAACAGCAAGGAAAAAGGCAAAGAATCATGCAGAGGCATTTATAATGACAATATGTTTTCTGTTTAGTGGCAAACTTTGTGAATATGGAACCATTTTGGCATATGGAAACATTTCTTTTGACCTGCTTAAAGTATATTGAATATGTTAACTGATTTTCTTTCTGTTAGTTGTAGGCCACTGTGATTTCCTATTGGCTACTGTAACTGTTTTTCAGTTGCCTTGCTGATTATTTGGTGGGGAATAAAGGTGGACAAATTGACTCCTGGATGTCAGCCCAGTAATTCAAAATCGGAAGGAAGGAGTACCGTGTTGAACTGAAATTTTCTGGGAACCTAAAAGATGCATAGTGAACTTTCTTACACTGGAACTTATCCAGGATTCAGAGCTGAATACTCCACAAGCCTTAGGAAAAAAAAAGCTGCTGGGGGAGGGGAGAGTAATCAAAAGCTGGCAAGACTTCAGGTCTGCCTCATCTAAAAGAATCATACATTTTTAGCGAGTATGATTAACTGTGGGAAAGAATCACCAGGGGAAGTAATGGATTCTTCACCTCCTCATGTCCTCTGATGCAGACTGTTTTTTTTTATCCAGAACCGCATTCAAGCTATTGAGTTCAATACAGAAGATCAAATGATCCTTTGATCCTCATAGTTCTAATCTATGAATGATAACACTTGTGGCAGTAGAGGCACTGGCCCACATGATATTTATATGATGGTGACCTATGAGGAAGAACCACTCTCTACTTTCCTTCCCTTGATAACCCATAGTACTAACTACTCAACAACAGTTATGTTTTTCTGAGACTTAACAAGGCAAGGTGCTTGCACTTTATGCCTCACAGATCTTTCTCACTTTGTTTGCACACTGTAACACGTGCTTTTTGATCTCTGAAGACACAGCAGGCAAAACTACAAAAACCTTTCTTTGAGCTGAGTTTAATGGTTTGCTCGTATTGGTACTTTTACCATATATGTTTTCGTGAAGGGCTGTTTCCACCCTTGGAGATGTGCTTCAGTTCAGCACAAAAAGCAGACTCATCCTGGCATACAGTCAGTTTGGGATCTTGTTCCCACAGCACCTATATCGAGTTGAGACTGAGTGTTTGGCTGAATCTGGCCCTCACTCATGGCAGAAGCTGTGACAGTCTTGAGTAACATTTCAACAGAACTGGAGAGCTTTGCTGAGTTTCCTGTATCTGTCTTTTATTAAAAGGTCGACACATGTTCCCGTTGGAGAAGATCAAGTCCTGCACCTGGAACTAGCCCAAGATATAGCACAACATTTCAACAAGAAATATGGACAATTCTTTCCTGTGCCCAAAGCCATTTTAAGTAAGCTGGTCTTGGTTATTTTTTTTTCTTCCCCCTTAACTACACTTCAAGGTTGAAGATGGATTTAAATATTGTGGAAATAGTTTCAGGGACCAAGAAAAGGGAGCGGAAAATTAAAAACTGACAACGAGAGCCTAAAGGCTGTGAAACTGAACTCCCAAGATAGACATAAGGCTTTACAAATCCCCTGTAGAGGAATGTATGTGACGTATGGTATTCTAGTCCAGGGGGCCAGATGCGCTCTGCTGCTGCTGGTCAGCCTTGCTCTTCAAGTATTGGACCTTTTAAGAGTAGGGTCTCTGGTCCATGTTGCTAGTTCAGGAGACATGTACGGAACAAGGCAAGAGACCTCTACCAAGCAGAACTCCTCAATGTCTGAGTGGTAGGTGTTTTCATTAAGCATGCTAAACAGCTTGTAGGTTTATTGCTATGATGCTTAAAAATCTTTTTAAGTGTATTTAATATATACTTGTGTGTTTCAGTAAGGGTCTCTTACAGAACTTAGGCTTGCTGGTTTTGATCTTAGACTCAGGGAGACTTATAAGGAAAATCTTCTCAGCCATATTTGAGCTATAAAGGTCATAGGCCGGGGGTGAGGAGGAGTCAGATGGCGCAAATGGCATGTTTGTTAAGAAACGTGAAGAATTGGGCAAGGAAGAAGCATTGCATCTTTGTTGTAAGTAATGTAGAGGAATGCACAGCAGAGACCTTCGCCCCTAAAAGGGCAAGGAGCTCTCACCTTAGAAAAGACAGGCAGTAATAAACCTTTCTCAATTTTCAAGCCTCAGCAACAAAAATGGTGTTAGACCCAGAGTGGAGCTTAGAGAATACTGGATATTGCAGGCTTTGTAGTTTCTAAAGAACAATTAAACACTAAGAACTGTAATGAGGAGCTGAGTGTAGCCTGTGATGCAGGTGAGACTGTTTCCCAGGAAATAAAAAGTTCGATTTGCGAAGATGGAGGAAAAAAAAAAAAAAAAAAAAAAAAGAAATTTTCACTTTTCTCATGAATTGCATACCTTCGTAAATGCACAAGTACATTCAAATCAATGAAATATCCTAGATGAATGGAGGAGTTAAGGACCTATTCATACTCACTCGCTGTAGGCAGTTACCTGGCAGTTACCTGTAGGAGTACCTGGACCTCTTCAAATTTACAGAAAATAGACAGATTCTCCCAAAAGGTGATTCAGAACAGAGCACTTTCTGGGGCAGTCTAAACTGTACCCTGGAAAAACGCTAACCCTTTCACCAAGTACATGATCACTATGTGGGTGGTTTAGCTGGCTGTATTAGGTGTCTAAAAAAAATTGGTGTGAATACTTTCTACATCAGTGGTACTTTGCATACTCCATCAGTGGTGTTTGTTGGTGAAAGACTGAAACAGTTCGGGTTGTTGCTGTTAAAGAAAGTATTTTGCAATATTCCCCTAATGCTACTGTTCTATTTCGTGTACACATGTATATCTTAGTAGTTTGTACAATACCCACACCTCTCTTATCTGAACAGTGCTTTCTGTCTAACAGAGCTGATTAGTGTTCAGTTGGGGAACTTTTGATAACTGTCTTTACTGATATTTAGGACAATTACCTAGAGATTTTGGGTAGATGAGTTTCCTAAAGTGAGGAGATTAACTGTTCTGGGATTGTTTTTTTTTTTTACCAGTGGATTTAACCTGTTTTTCCACTGTTAAAGAACCTTTCAGTAAAGTGCAGTTTGTGCTCTCTGGGTAACTTGTCCGCAGTGGCAGGAACACAAGGGAGGAGAGCATTTTGGGGGAAAATCAGCACATAGCCACAGAAAATGTTAGAAAGTATCTCATCAGAAGTTTCTGCTTGGTGAGGAGGGGAGAAATGGAGCAGGTTTTCATTTAGTGTATGGGAGGAGAAAAGCAACTCAGAAGAACAGGGAGGTCTTAAGGACTAAATAGGAGTGTACATGATTGTGCTTACAACGCATTTTTAAGCAAGGATATACAGAGAACTTTGTCATGCTGCTGCAAAGTGTTCTTAGCAACTGTCATAAGGTACCATTGTCTCTCTGTGTTCTTAATTATTTTTTTTTTCAGGTACGACAAAGAAAATAAAATCCCTCAGAGATCCAACAGTGAAGATGTCCAAGTCAGATCCACAGAAGTTAGCTACTGTTAACATAGCAGACAGCCCTGACGAAATAGTGCTGAAATTCCGCAAAGCTGTGACTGACTTTACCTCTGAGGTGACCTACGACCCAGCTGGTCGCCCAGGTGTCTCAAATCTGGTGTCCATTCATGCTGCAGTAACAGGGCTTAGCATAAAAGAAGTGTTGCACCAAGCTGCTGGTCTCGACACTGCTCACTACAAAATGGTGGTAGCAGAGTCAGTTATTCAAAAGTTTGCACCTATCAGGAATGAAATCAAGAAACTCCAGGAAGACAAATCCCATCTGATAAAGGTTTTAGAGGATGGAGCAGAGAAAGCCAAAGAACTCGCTTCCCCCATCTATCAAGAAATAAGACGACTGGTGGGATTTCAGTAGAAACGGCTGAGTAGTTGCAAGGACTTTTGTTTCCTGGGAGAGACTTTTTGTTATTCATATCTTCTTAATCATTGTGGTTTGAAACAAAAACTTTTTTTTTTTTTTTTTCCCTGGAAAACCCAAGTAGAACATTGTCGGTGTTTGCATTAAAAAAAATGTGCGTAAAGCCAGATATTTCCAGTGGGACCAGCATTGAGCTTGTCTGGATAGTCAAAGAGGGAGGACGGAAGCAATCATAATTCACGAAGAAATCCTGCAAAAGCAGAATATAAGATTGCCCAAGTGGGAGTTTGAGCTTTTCCATTGACCACTGCAGGAAGCTGAGGTACAGGCGATGTGATCAGAATCTGGCAGAAAGATCTGTAATCTTCTCAAGAACATCCTTAGCTGTGCATGTGATCTCATTACAGATGGACAATACATCCTTTGGGTGGTTATTCAGCTTTGATATGATGGTTGAATGTGTTCTTGGATAACCAGAATAAAAGCACAGGCTCACAAATCAAAAAGCTCAGGGTGATGAAGAGAGAACTTACTGCCTCTCCATGTCATGTCCTCAAACTCATTGTAATTTTTTATCTACATCTAGTTTGTGTGAAGTGAGTCAGTGTGTCTTATGGATACGGATATCCATACTCTATAACTCACTGTGACTACTGTGCTAGATGGCCTCTTTGAGAGTCACTCCAAAGAACCCAGAGAGTGGACTTGAATTTCACTTCTGCCACCTGTGCCGTCCTGCTGGTCAGGTCTAAAGTACTTCAGTGAGAAACAACATGTGCTTCAGCTGCTCCTATTCCACCTGCTGTTTGGTTTAGCAGGGAGCTTCAGGATTTTCAGTTCAGCATCAAGTCTAAGATTCCTTTAGAAAAGGTGCAGGGGAAAAGATGTAATCTTGTGTGAAAGAAATCTGAGGTTGAGAAATCGGAGAACTTCCTGTAAAATTTACAAAATTACTTGTTTAGAAAATTGCGCTGAGGTCAGAGGCAGACTAAGATTAAATAGATCTTTATGAAATCCTCCTACTGAGCCTCAAGAAAGCTCAGTGGTGGGAGAATGGTGTTAGCCCTTGCTGATCTTAGGCCTCATGAGACCCACAGACTGAGACCCACGAACCATGGCATTTGTTGGGGAATGTGTGGCAAAGGGGAATTGCCAAAAGGAGACAAATTCCAAAGAGGGGGTAGTAGTACATGTTAAACGGTAATGAAAGCCCTACTAGTCCTAGGCTAGCGTATTTAAGTGTATCATTGCACTTAATGGTGCTGTGTTTGAAATTGCTGTACTGTAATGTAAATCCTGTACTCCGGCAGCTCATAACCATTATATGCCTATGGCATTTGTCATGAAGGATTAGAGATTTACACAACCAAGTTACTAAAACTGGGAGGGTTTCTATGTAGTGCAGTTGTTTGATTGGTTTTTATTTAAAAAAAAAAAAAAGTCATTTAGTTTTAAATTTAGTTAGTTATCATAGTGAGGTGATTCAGAAATAATTATTTAATTTTGCAAAACAAGAAGTTGTGGACTGAGTGTCTGGATCCCTACTGAGACCTGTATTTATTTGTTAGGGATCTGAAGAAAACTGCCATGCAAGAACTTGATGATGACATGCTTTCTAAAGTTAGTCAAGAGCAGAGTGGATGGAGACAGAATGATGGGAAACCAAACTTGGTGTAGACAAGTCAAAGGTAATGTTCTCTGGAAAGAATAAGTGTATTCAAAAGTAGTCCCTGTTTTCAAATTAGCTGTAGCAGATTAGGAAAGGGCACAGTTATAACTGTACATATTTAGGTAGTTTTACAAAACTTTTGTCAGTGTTTAACAGCTGCATTAGTCTGCATGGGAACTAAGACAAAAAATTAAGGCACGCACGTTACCGCTGTTTACTGATTTGGCATAAAGTGTTTGCTGTGACACTTTAACATGAGTTGATCTCTGCAAACATCACACGCTAAGTTTCTTGGAACCTTGCGTTAGAGAAGCTAACGCAGTGCTCATGAAGATACTGAAAACCTTTAACACTACTGTATCTAGTTTCTACTTGTTCCTCTATTTTACTAACAAAGATAGGAGTGTATATTCAAAAGATGAATCATAGTTTCAAGGTGTCTTTACACTTCTGATACTCAAACCACCTAACATATACAGTTGGCATTCAGCACACCTTTGCAGTGAAAAGGAAATAGGAGTATTCATATGTCTTCAATAAATTTATTAATATAAAAAAGGGGGGGAGGAGATGACATCAACAGGCAATTCTGGCTCATTACCCAAGCTGTTCTGAGCAGTCATTCCAAAACTGTTAGATCTCTTCAGAAAATCACATAGGTGAGGCAGGAAGAAAAGCTTCAAAAGAGCCCTTTCTTTGGGGTAGGGGTCTAATACATTACATATTTTGCAGTATTTCGATCAAATTTACTGTTTTCTCTCTTTTAAAATCAAGAATTGATTGGGGTTTTCCCCTCCTCTTTCCCCTATCAGTCAAAAAAAAAAAAATTCTTACTTGCCTGACCTATTTCGTTCAAGTAAGGAAATACGCCTGGTTTTTCTTCTTCAGGAAACTTGTGTAAAATGAGTATGTTCACCTACTGGTTGTTGACTTTAGCTTTTTTATTTTAGTAGCTTCTGTGGAGAAATTCTCAAAATAAAAGCTGTGTCTGCCCGGTGAAATAATCCCAGTTCCACTTACAACCATGGTCATTAGAGTCCCCTGAGAGGAGACAATGGTAATGTAGATGTTTGCAGTATCTGCTGCCTATTTCAGTTTTCTTAGAACATGGCTTTTCTGGGAAGTTAACCGTCTTGGCATTCAGGTTAAGAGTCTAGCTGGACCTAGCCTGACTGCCTCTCTGCATTCCTTGAGCCGTTTACTTGGCATCTGGGAAGAGTTTGGCAAGAAGCTGAGCTTGGAGCAACGTGTGCTTGCTACTGTAAGTAAAAGTTAGGTTTGATACCAAGCTACTCGAATCTCTTTGTTCTTCTTTTGCCTCTCTGTTTCTTCTTCAGAAGATTTTTGTAAGCACCAATTCTAGATGGTGTTCTGTGACAGCGTTTACTTTAGCAAAGAAGTGCAGATGAGTTAGGGCAGCTTTTTAGAGAACGGTTGTTGGAGAAAGCTTGATGCTATGTATTTCAGAAGGACTTTTTTCACACTAACTCTAGTCTGGTGTGCTGGGGCTTTACTGTTTGTTTACATCTGGAATGCAGTAGGTGCACTCCTGAAATGCATTTCCATGTTTGGTTTCATCCAGTTCATGTTCCCTGAGACTTCTCTCTGATGCCTGCTGAAGTGCAGTTAGTGGGAACAGTGAGGAGTTTCTGCAAAAGCACACTCCTGATCCCAACCGCAGTGCTAGTGTAGGCATGCCCTGTGGTGCTGTGGAAGTTGTTGTAAGGTATTCTTTCAGGAGCGGGTGGAAGAGAGATCCAATTGCATCTTTCTTAGTTGAAGAAAGAAGAGTTGAAAGACAGAGAGGTATCCTTACCCCTTGCTGTGTTGCTCTTTGTTTCAGCTTCCTTTTCTTTAGCGATCCTTCTCCTCGAATACATGCGGTGATTTGTGTCTTGGTCTCCAAATCTCCTCCTTTCCCATTACTTATGTTTAGCGCGTTAGAAGTACACATGTAGTGGTTGGGATCTGCAGTATCAGACCTAGCATCTCCAGGTAACTGATGAGGTTCACTTACCTTTAGAGATGAACAGTGAATAACTTACTAAGTTCTATAAATGTTTGTACTATATAGTATATATACACTATAAGCATTTATACACTTGAGACATTTATCTTTGTGACCAGTGGTTCCTAGGAAGTCACCTTATCACTCATCAGTGATAAGTCAGCTGATAAGTGAGGCTAATAAGGTAAGTTGATAGTGAGTCTCAGTTCTGTGCTCCCAGTTCAGAGCACAGAATTTACTGGGAATTTTAGATTCAGGAACAATGTTTTCTTAAGCAGAGCCTCCAGATGATGATTGGCCTTATCAATTAACTCTGGCAGTGCTCCAGCATCCACATACATCTGTGCCTCAAATAAATGGACAATATGTGTATCGTATGTTATACTGGAATTTGCTTGTAACTCTTAAAGATGTGGTTGAAGTATACTTAGTTTTCAAACACCATGGTCTGGGTTCCTAGATTCTCTAGAAGCTCTTGTGCATAGTTCTGACTCAGTGTGTGTTTATCTACGAACAATTCAAGCAAAACTCCTCAGCAGGATTATGGTTGCCTCCATTCAAGGTTAGGGAGTTCATGTGAGTGAGCTGAAAGTTTAAGGAAGGACAGTGAAATGGGATCCTTGGGGATTGACCTGTATCTAAATGTTTTGGGACTACAGGTTATCAGAGCAAGTGTTTTCTTATCCTTGGTTAGGGCCATTGTGATCCTGACAACAGCACTGCAGTAAATACTGCTGATGAAAACCTTTATATGGTCTTACGTAGGAACTCTGTATCTGATTTGTTGAGGACTATACTATAACATGAAACTTTAATTTTCTGGTCTCTACAGTTTGCTAGATGATTGTGTCAGCAAAAATCTGTTGGAAAACCATTAGCCAAAGCCAAATATAATCCTCAGGTCCAAAGCCTTTGGATGTTTTCCCAAAATGGGAATTTCCCAAAACAGCTAGTTTGATAAGCTACAATACCAATTTCAGTAGTTGCTGTAGGATCAGTAAGAGCCGGAGGTCCATTCTGAATGACTCATTCGTACTTTTCATTACTGGTCTAATGCACGTTCTATTTATCAATATGGCTCAAGGAGCATGACAAAACTCAGGGATGGTCTGTGTGTGGTTCTGGTAATAGCAACAATATGGACTCGGGTGGGTTTGAGTCTTGAATCTAATGAGCATGCTCTTTCAGTGGTCCAGCTTGGTTAGATTTATGTTCAGAACAACAGATGGATCTTTCACCTGTACTGATAGCTCTGTATTTGAGTTCCTGGATGCTGCCTACCTGTTTGTTTATGACTAATTGCTTCACAGAGAGAAATAG